TGTATCCACTGATCTGCCCTTGATATAGGCATGCTGGGATTTACTAAGTTTATTACGGTCAATGGTATCTCTAATTTCTGAGTCTAGTAACCTTTCTAAAGTTTTTAGTAGAAAGGAAGAAAGACTAATCGGTCTATAGTCTTTAGGTACCGTATGACTCGGCTTCCCGGCTTTCGGGATGAAGGTCACGGTAACCTCTTTCCATAGACTGGGTATGTACGACAAAAGTAAACAAGCCCTAAAAATGTCCTGCAGATATGATATTATCCGTTCATCTGCGTGTTGCAGCATGGCCGGTGTTATACCATCTGGACCAGGAGATTTGTAGGGTTGAAAACTATTTATCGCCCATATCATTTTTGGGTATCTTATAGTGTCTTCTATCATCTTCTCCTCTTCCCTCGTCCGAAATGTAGGCTGATGCGCATCTTCCCTATAGTCCTTACAACCAGGAAAGTGGGTTGATGATAGAAGATCAAGAGTCTCACTACCAGAGTTTGTCCACGTTCCATCACTTCGCTTAATACTTCCTATGGATTTTGGATCCTTAGAGAGTACTCTGCGGAATCTGGCCGCTTCGTTGACTCCTTCGATCGACTCGCTATAGCAGACCCAAGACTATTATTGTCTCCTATTGAATTGTCTTTTATAGACATCCCAATCTGTACTGAGCTTTGTCTTACTAGCGCTATTATAAGCTTTCCTTGCAGCCTTCCGCAAGGTTGCAAGGTCCTGTGACCACCATACCGGCTGAGATTTCTTCCCAGGGTATGTTAGAGGACAAGATGCCTCATAGCTCTTCAGAAGAGTGGCCGTGACATTTTTCACAGCTAATTCAACATCCTCAACCGTTTTGAGATCATTACGATCCCGAAAAGAGGCTGCTGTTTTAGCTTTGAATTTGTCCCAGTTCGTCTTCCGAGGATTCCTATAAGGTTTCTGTTTAGCTCTAGAGGTAGGAATCTGGAAGGATATGAGTCTATGATCCGAGAAGGAACATTTCTCAGACACCTCCCAGTTTACGACCCCAGAGTCGTCCATATTTGTGAGGGTTATATCGATGACTTCACCTCTCACCCTATTAACAAAAGTTGGTGTATTGCCTCTATTACAAATTCTAAGATTATAGCTAAGTATAAACTCGAAGATGGACTCACCTCTTGTGTTTGTGTTGCTGCTTCCCCAATAGAAGTGATGTGCGTTAGCGTCACATCCCAAGATGATGTCACCAACTCTGCTCATCTCCTCCAATAGGCGGCATACAACTGTGCCGGGTGGGTCAGGAGCTTCGTAGGGAAGATAGACGGCAGAGACTATCAGTGGCTTCGTGGTACCTCTGTCTAGTCTTGCTGTCGTCATATCTCCATTGCTGAAATTAGAAAGAAGCATTAAATTTAACTCCTTTTTAGCAAGAATACACGTTCTCACCTTCTCTCCATTGGAGGTAGACAAAAGCGTGTATTTGGTGTCGCCCAGTCCAGTCACCTTACCTTTGTACAGGCAAGGTTCCTGGATGAGCGCCACGTCGATGTTTGAGGAAGAAAGGGTGAGTAGCAGTTCAGCAGCTGCTGCTCTACAGTGATGCAGATTAATCTGAATCACGTTAAGCGCTTGCTGCTGCCTGCCTATTGTTTTGGAGTGGTGAGGCGGAAACAAAGTTTCCCCATTCCATAAACAAGCTCACCCTTGTTCTTCCTCAAGTACTCCTCTCCCGCAGAGTCAGTAGCGAACTTCGCGACTACACCGCCGTTCCTTTCAAACGAGGCGAGGATTCTCCACCTCCTCGTCTGAAGGCCGTCGTTCTGCTTCTCCAATAACCTCAGTGTCTTCTCCAGCCCCTTGAAAGGTTTTGGGATAAACACCGAGGTTACCATACCGCTTGGTATCTCTCGAACCGCTACGGCTGCCAGACGACCACCCTCCCAAAGGGGGTCCAGGCTGTTAATTGTCTTCTTAAGAAAATCTGAAGTTTTCTTAGTGCGACAATCAACAACCTTTACTCCTTTGTAAGAGGAGGTCAGGCCAAACCGCAGGCTCTCTCGATCAACCTCGTCGGACAGGAAGAAGTCCTTCAGATAGCTGTCGACCAGCTCCCATCTTTCCTCACTGATAAACCCGTCAGGGTCAGCTCGGTCGATGATCGCTACCCGCAGATCTTCCGGAACCTCTCTCGGATCAGCAGAGTCGCTTTGCTCAGTTGTAGGTGTCTGGGCTACCTGCTTCGAGACAGCGTGTTTGGTTTTCACCCCACAATCGCTGCTCTTGGCAGGTTTCTCCTTCGACGCTACCACCGAAGCAAAAGAAGCAGAGCTCTGTACGGCCGACGACTGCGTGGGCCTCTTTGCAGCAGGTTGTTGCTCCTCCGAGGACCTCATTCTCTTGACAGCCGTGGGCTGTGGCCGAGATTTGGCACCCGGGGTAGCAGCTACTGCAGAGGTATGCCCAGCAGACGCAGGCACCTGCTTCACGTTCGCTACCTTCTGCTTGACCACTAGCGACTGCCCAATTGTCACCGCCTTGGCTGTCAGCTTTGGCAATTCGGCAGAAGGTGGATTGACAGAGGGCGGTTGTGCCTTATCGGTCTTCTTGGAGGCCTTTTTACGGGCTCTCTTTCGGGCCGACTTCGACAGTCCCCTGCCTTCTGTCTTTGTGGATTCTGATGTCTGAGACGTCTCAGTACTCAGTTTACCCTTTGGGGATGCTGAGGGCTTAGACGTCTCAGGCATCAGCTTCCTGGATGTACCGGGGCCATCAGCAGGTTTCTCCTTCTTAGAAGAGACTACCGCCGTGGTCTTAGTACTGGGTCGGGGGATCCTATCAATCAAGAAGTCCCTCTCAATGTCATCAGGATAGTTCCTAGAGAACTTCCTAATGAGTTTAAGGTTCCTCTTGATTAACAGGAACTCCTTCCCCGTGATGGAGTCGCTGTCCCGTCCAATGTACCGTTTGCAGAAATTTACTGCTCTCTAAAAAAAATTGGCTCCATAAAAAAGTGCTGTATGTGAGGATTTGAGGTCGACCATGGCATAGCCTCTTACCATGGCAAGGACTTGGCAACTAAGCCTGAAACACTTGTTGAGGCGCCCAGGTATCAACAAGGCTCCGTTCTAATACAGTCGGTACCCTGACTGCAAATCGTGGAACGCTGATAGGCACGAGGTCGCATGACACCCCAGCGTTAGGGGGACACTTTAAGAAGGTAGTGTCCCAAACCTTGAGATGGATATATGGGAGGGGGCGCCATTCTCGCCTCGTCGACTCAGGGATCATTGGCACTCGGTCATTTCCTCCGAGACTCTCCCCCTGAGCCCGCTGATTGTCAGCGACTGTTTATTGGTTATTAACAGTTACCCCACGAATGGTGTTGGGCTTCCCACTATCCGCAACCTGTGGACGCGTCCGATAGCATTCAGCTTTGCTCCCCGTAGGCAAACTATTAGTTTTAATGAAAAAAAAGAATAAGAAGCTATTATTATTAGGAGTACGGTGGGAATAGTTTCGATGGCTAAAGAAATTGGACAGTAAAATACTTTAGGTTTCTAATGATGTTGTAGATTAAAGCAGGTTCCATAGTGAGAACCCACTAGTCTGTGCTGTCTGTAGGACAGCGACACAGCAGATGCTCAATTGTCTCCGTCTCCTTGTCGTCAGCACAGAGTCTGCAATAATCAGTAACATCATGGTCTCATTTACTGGTAAAGGCCCTGATATTGCAATGACCAGTAGTGACTCCTGTCATTACTCTAATTTCGGCTTTGCTCAGGTTCAACAGTGAGTTTGTTCTCTTGGTTGACAGAGTCGGCCAGATAGATCTTGACACATTGCACCTAGGTTCCTTGTGCCATAGTTCATTGGCTCGTTCGTCGAAGATCGCCCTAAAGTTCTGGAAAAGATGACAGATGGGTGGTTTGATTGAGCAATCGATTGCTAGATCTGTAGATTGAGATCCTCGTCTTGCTAATTCGTCTGCTTTTTCATTATCCATAATGTCACGGTGCGTTTCCAAAACTGTTCTACACTCGAGGACGACCTCAGATTTCATATTAAAGGATTTGATGGTTTTAAGAGCCGCCTGACTATCCACAAAGGTAGTCACCGGTTCAACGATCTCTGCTTCCAGACTTTTTATTAATTTCGCTGCCTTCCAAATAGAGAAGATTTTTGCTTGGAAAACACTACAGTTGCTATCCAGCTTGTAGGTAAGCTCAAGGCCCATCCTTTCGCAGCAGACGCCAGCCTTCTTCGATCCGTCTGAATAAAAAGCCAGACCGTCCAGAGGAGTGTTGCTTCGGTTCCTGACGTCTCTACTTGGTATAACGACATCTATAGCGTCAAATCTCAGTTCTGGCGATATATAGTCGCTTAGTTTTACTCGTTGGTCCAATGTCAAACATAGTTCGTTATTTGTTAAAAAACGTTGACGTTTTTGGTGTATTCTTAGGTTGGTACTGAAGGCGATGTTTAAAAGCCGGTCCTCCCATCCGGATGCGATGGAACATTGTTATATCGTTCAGCAGTAGAATAGAATAGCGAGTTTTTATACCCTACACAACTATGTTGTCAGGGTATTATAGCTTTGTGCAGTCACAAGAGTTTGTAACGCCGCGAAATATTGGCCCTAGACCTACCTTTATGTATACCGATCGTCATATCTCGACTAGCTAAGTCTAGATTTAGACATGTGTGTCCGTCTGTCCATTATAATTTGTAAACACGATACAGACCACAGTTATGGACCAATCTTCACGAAATTTTGCATGTAGGATGGGTTCTGCCCAATGAAGACCCCTATTGTTTTTGGTAAAGATCGGTAAATATTTAAGAGATGAAATGGACCAAATATTTAATTTTTGTCGGTTTTTCTAGTCGCTCCAAAGGCCGCAATAATGGCGGTATGAAATAAGTCCCCAAACAGAAAATGAAATAAATTTGGGGCTTTATTTCAATATGAAATAGATCCCTAAAGAGTAATATGAAATAACTCCCCAACGAAATGTAGGAATTCCCCAAAGTAAAATTAAATAAGTCCCTAAAAGCGGGGACTTACGTATTCATATATTATTTAGTAACCCATTACCATACTAGAAGGCGGAAATATATCGCTGATCGCTTTGAAATTTTCCATGAAGATCGAGGTATGGTCAAGGACAACGCCTATAATTTTCGGCGATGATCAGATAATAATATTGGGATGATGTGGACCGAAAACTTAATTTTTTTGTGTTTTTGGAAGGGAATCTGGACATGTAATTAGAAGAGCTGTACTGATATTAGTAATATCTGCAGCAGAATCAGCAGATAATGCCACTTTAAGATTTTTTGGATATTGTTGATGTTGCCAAATGCTTTTGCAGGTCCAACTGTTTATATACAGAATTTTTACTAACATTTTTCAATTAGATCCTTTCTATGAACATTCAAAAACACAGTCCTTAACGTCCTTGATTCGACCTTACTGGGTCTCGTCGAAGTAACCGTTGATTACAAGGGGGTTGCCTCACAAGGTTTCGGAAAGGCAACCATGATTCAACCCTCTTGAAAGCAACGGTCTTCAATGCGACTTAGACACTCCCTTGCTTTTGATTTTTTCCTTAAGATTTCATGGGCATTTTTTCGAATAAGAATTTGAGACACTCGATCTTCCCCAAAACCGCATCATATGTGCTAAGTTAAAAACCTACGTAGCAGATATCAATTATATCTATAGCTCCACTGATTACTAAATTAATGTTGATAATGAAATGTCCTGCTCGATGGCGATCAAATTCTTAAAGAAGATCAAAACTTCTTTTGTGTAGTTTGCATGTACAAGTTATATTGGGTGGAAGATTATTTAGAAATGCTAGAACACGTTTGGATTTTTTAGCTTGTTTTGAAATTTCAGAAAATGTCCGGAAAATTACAAATATTGAGCATGAGACTCATAAAAAAGTGTAGTTTGGGATTTAAGTGCATCGAGATGAGGAAGGCAACAATACACTCTACTTTATATTCTAGTTGGCTTTGGAAAATTTTTTGAAATATTTTCATTAATTTAATTTTTGAACTATTTTTCATTTCCTCTCCTTTTAAACTATTTCAATCGCTCGTCTCGAAAGAGTCTCGTTTAGTTCCTAAACCGATCATACTACGGTCGGTTTAGGAAACCTTCAAACATAATTATTGGTTTTAAGATTATTTAATAAATTCAATTTCTAATTTTTACAGATGGTTTCATCCCACAATATCGGGCATCGAAGCTGAAAAATTGCTGTTGGAACAAGGTTTCGATGGTTCATTTTTGGCCCGTTTGTCCTCTTCAAATCCCGGTGCATTTACATTATCTGTACGAAGGGGTCAAGAAGTGACACACATAAAAATACAAAATAATGGTGATTTTTTCGATCTCTATGGAGGTAAGTTTCCATTCTAACAAATTTGAAAAAGAAATATTAAACAATTATTCTTTATCTAATACCTTAGGTGAAAAGTTTGCAACATTACCTGAATTGGTACAATATTATATGGAAAATGGTGAATTGAAAGAGAAAAATGGTCAGGTGATAGAATTAAAACAACCGCTCATATGTGCGGAACCCACAACAGAAAGGTGAGTGGGAAATTGTAATTAAAAATGACATTTTAATCTGGCGATAATCTAAAAGTTGAATGATGATGAAATAGAGGGTGAAAGTGAAAATGAAATTGAAATGCATTTAAATGTAATTAAGTGCATTTAATTGTGGATAGGGGGAATTACTAAAAAATTATAGTTGTTAATAATAATCCTCATAAATAATTACAAAACAAAAGTATGTCGAGCATTTCAAGGTCTGTCATCCATCTAACTATGTAAACGCATTGCCTATATTGTTAGGTATTCAATTAAAAATTCCCCTCGAACAACTTTTCTTTTTTATTTAATTAGAAAGTATTTTTTTTATTAATTTAAATCTATTTTATAAATAGCTTTTATATCTCATAATTGATGTAGTAATTGAATTACGCATTCTTTGTTTTGTTAAGTATGAAGGCAATTATTATTGTTAATTCTATTATTTGTTAATATATTGATATGTTCACCTTTGGACTTTATTCCATAGCCAGGTGAAATGTGACGGCATAATATAAAAAAAAAACAATATTGAAGAACTTTATGAAGAGAAAGAAAAAGTATACTTTATTCGAAACAAATCTTAATTATAAAACTATAGATGTCTATATCAAAGATTAGATAAATATTTGTAGAAAATTTAGTTTTCAATTATTTGTAATATGGGGACGGGATTATTTGCAGTTTCCAGTTTAAAATTTTGATTTCAAATTTCTTTAATAGTTTTTTATTGACTCCGAAATAATTGATTTTTTGTAGTATATTGAATTACGAATTAATAATTGTTACAGACAAATAATGCATGGTTTACAAAATATTGAAAATATATTTAGGCGTGGGAGATAATTTATTTTTTAAAAATGGCTAACGTTTTTATTTGAAAAAAATTATAATTGTTTAAAAACAATTTGTTTTATTGAATAATAAACAATATGAAATATAAACATAGATTTTTTAATAGCTCATTAAATAGAAAGTTGGGTTAAATGACCTCTATTCGATTGTGGTGTTTTTGTTTCGAAAGTACTTGTTTTTATTGTATTTATAATGATCAAGTGCTTGTACATTCGTGGGTGATTATTCGAAAAATTATTATTTTGCAATAAACAAACTGAAAACAAATAATCAACTAATATTATTTTGTAATAAACAATCATCCTGAAAGACGTTGTAAGACAAAAATGAAAAATGTGAAGGTAGACGTTAGGGTTGGTAACTCAACCCACATGTCCTCTACTCTCTGAATCTCTGCTTGAAAAAAAAATCAACGTTACAATTTTCCTTTAGTTTGTAGGAATTCATAATTACTCCTAATATGCGCCTTCTTCGGATTATCTGTAAAAATGGACAGTCCCTCTAGTATTTCTTCGACTCCCCGGCTCATTTCGTAAATTGAATGCTTCCGCTCGATAATGAGGTCGCAAATTAGCCTAATATATAGAGCTGAAACAGAACACATGTCTATAAAATTTGGTTTCTGCTGCACGAACATTAGAACAAAATCGGTGGTCAGTAATTGGCTATACTGCCCAATGTCACCTGGGCGATCTGCTAATAGAAACAATTATGGATCGGTGGACTGATCCAAGTGAAAAGAACGGCTGGCCTTTAACGTCATTATACCCTTCCCCGCTATGTGGTGCAGGGTATTATATCTTTTTTTTTTTTTTTGTATTATTTTGGTTGGCCCACTTTCTATAGGGATAGAAGGTTTAGTGCCATGTCTCCATATGTAGCTTAAGCTACGAATTTGACTTTATCCATAGATGGTGGTTTGTGTTTTGCAGGTTGACTTCGATCTTCTTTAAGAATTTGACCACAATGTTCAGACTTTCTAAGCCTTGTGTATCAGTGAACTCTTCTACTGTGAAGGAGTCACATAGTTGCGAAAAGCATCTTCTTTTGTTATTAAATTTACGAAAATTGAAAATTCCATGCGCAGCTGTTTGGATTCTGTTGAACGACTCGTAATTTATAGGTTATCCGTATTTAAAAACGCACGTGTTAGTTAAGCGAACGCTTAACAACCGCCATTTTGTAAAAATCTATTTTTAAGCCCGTGGGCGTGTAATACTCATTTAAAATTTTACGTCTTTCTTGTGAGCCGTCCGAGGACGAACTGGGTATTATATCTTTGTGCATATGTTTGAGAATATGCATAGAATCACTTTCTGAGTTGATTTATGCATGCCCGTCTGTCAATGTATTCTTGTGAACAAAGTGAAGGTCGCATTTATGACCCGAATGAATTTGGCACAAGTCACTTATTTAGCTCAAGGACGAACCTTATTGAAATTGGAGCAAATCGGTTCAGATTTAGAAATATTTCCCAATATTTATTTTTATTCCGATTGGTACAACATTTTGCATAGTGTACAGAATTAAGCCCAGTTTGATGTCTGTGATGTTTTGTTGAAATCGGTTCAGATTTATATATAGCTCCCCTATATAGTTTCTTCCGATTTTAGGGAAACTCCGAAGATTTGCCTATGTAGACCACAAATTTAATTTCGATAGTCTTTCAAAGATGATATGCCTCTTCTATCTACAGGATATTGTACATGTTATCATCATATTGTACCCAAAGTGGTGAAGTGTATCGTATAGTCGGCCCCGCCCGATATAACGCATATCTTCTCATAAGACTGATTTCTCTTCATATATTTTTCTAGTAGTTGGTAGGGATTTAATTGTTGTCCCTAATTTTCTCATGTTGTTCTGTTGCTGTAGCAGCCCTATTGCTCTGTCGTTTCCACGACAGAGGGGTCTACGATCCGAAACGACCCGTGTCTTACTCGGTCAACGTCTTTCATATCAGCCCAATTTACTCATGGTGTCTACAATGCTTCTTGAATTTAGATGATTCAGATATTAATCAAAAAATCCTGGTTCGGTTCAGATATATACAGACTTTTCTGTTTTTTTTTTTATAGGGGAGTCTTTTCAGGTCTCTTCATTTTTTATAGTTGATACTTCAAGGACCCGTTTTTGAATAGCATATATGACTAGCATCTACACGTGAAGTTGATCAGTATGTCCTCGATGTTCAAGTGCCACAACAGATGTGCTGTCCTGCTCTGACTCAGTCCTCGACTTATATTTGTTGACATGGTGTATGATACTGTAGTGGTACTATTCGAACTGCTGTTGGACAGATAGGGAACTGGATTATATTGTTGGGAGGATTATCACCACTATTATCTTTTCCACTGGTGACAGAAGTGAAATCGGCACGTACAAACAATTCCTGGTGACATCCCTGCCTGACTTCTACCAATCTAGCACTCTACAAGACGCCGATACTACTCGTGCTGTTATATGGATCTGAAGCATGGGTACTTGCGTAAACAGAAGAGGCAGCTCTTGGAGTGCTTGAGAGAAAAATTCTTCGGAAGATCTATGGCCGACCTGTGACCATCTATTCTCGGACATCGACATAGTCAGACGTATCCAGCTGTAGCGACTACGTTGGCTAGGTCATGTCGTGAGAATAGATGAGAATGCCAGCTCAAATGACATATAAAAGCGAACCAGCTGATGGTTCACAACATCACGGAACATGGGTTGTAAATTGGATAAGCTGCGCCTAAGACCGATGCGCCTGGAAATCTTTTTTAAGCTCGCCTTATGGAACAAACGTTCTGTCACAAGCCAGCTAAGGAAGTAACATGAATTACATCCTTTCCTTTCACCCGAAACGACCTGTAATATTTTAATGTTTTACCACACCTATAAGAGCAACGTTTCGTTTGTTTCATTATGGAACAGATCAAGAGAGCGTGAGTCTAAAATGAAGTTATTGTTGGTTCGAACCAATTCCGCACCAATTATTGTTTTAGCATCCTTACTTTTGTTAGAAAACGCTTGATAGCCATTATTTTCCTCTGTTCGTTTGCTGCAATTTTTATACCCTCCACCGTCCGTCTGTTGTAATCACGATATCTTCTGAAGGAATTGAGATAGGGAGATGAAATTTTGCATAGAGACGTCTTTTGTCTGCAGGCAGGTCAAGTTCGAAGATGGGATATATCGGTCCACGTTTAGGCATAGCTCCCATATAACTGTACCCCCAATATTCGGTATTTTGGGGTTCTTGAGCACGTTTTTCAACCGAATACGCTGAAATTTTGTACATTGAGTTCTTATTGGGTTCCAAATGTCTCCACAAAAAATTATAAATATAGGTCCACTTTTTCTGGTAGCACCCATATAACGGTACCTCCTAATTTTCAGTATTTTTGGGGTTTTGATCTATTTTTGCACCGAATCGGCTGTAATTTAGTATTTAGAGTTCTTAATAGGTACCAAATCTCTCCACGAAAAATTATAAATATAGGTCCATTTTTTCGGATAGCCCCCATATAAGGGTACCCCGCAATTTTCGGTATTTTGGGGTTCTTGAGTGCGCTTTTCAACCGAATTAGCTGCAATTTGGTATTATGAAGTCGTATATGGTAACAAATCTCTCTACCAAAAATTTTAAATATTCGCCCCCTTTTTGGGGTCGTCCCCATATAACCCCATTTTTTATAGTAAAATAGTTATATGATTTGTTTCGTGTTTGGGTTTGGCTCTAAGACTCTGTTGTAATCATTTCATCTGCGTAAGATACGAAAAAAAACTAGAACATTAACCTAATATATATATAATATATATATATATATATAATATATATATATAATATATATATATATAATATATATATATATAATATATATATATAATATATATATATATATATATATGAACCGTAACACGCATTTAGGCCTAGCCCCTGTGTGGGGTCTAGGACCAATATTTAGAACCATAATCGGTTTGTAGAAATGCCGGTATAGGTACACTTTTTGGTATGCTCCCTATATTTTTTTTTCAAGTACCTGTCAGTTTATGTATGGTGGAGGGTATCCAAAGTTCGGCCCGGTCGAATTTAACGCTTTTCACTTGTTTTCTAATTTCCAACCCAGGAGTTTTTGTTTGTATTATTTGAACTTCTAAACAACGAATACTGCTACTGTTTTT